GCAGAAGGAAGAACATGTATATGTATAAATATATGGAATTCTGAATCCACATCCATTTTTTCATGTGGTTGCAATTCCTCTTATTCAGGGTAATAGCCTGAAAAAGCATATAGTAGTAGCATTACTAAAGGTCTTAATCCGAAAGAGTTTCTTCATGTTCAGAGATACAGAAAAATAATTCACACTTAATCAAAGCCAGTTCAAGTCTCCATTGAAGTTCCCAAAGAATGAACACAAGAGAGGGTTTAGGTAACAAAGATGAGTACACAATGAAGACCATCATTCAAGTGTCCCTAAGGAGTAACCAAAGCATGAATCTATGCAAATACTACTAGGTGATCTATTATAAAATTATATTGATGTAACAATCGCTGCCTGCTGGTACAGGAGAGAGAAGAAATTTAACTTTTTCTTTTTTAAAAAAATAGAATGTAAGTTTTAATTTATTGTTAACCAGAGTTTTCTGTCAAGAATTTGGATAGGATGCACATCTAAACTGAACTTTCCTTACTGTTTAAGAAAAAATATCAACATCAAGAATATATCTCAGTCTTTTTTTTCTTCAGGCCCAGACAATAGATTTTTTTTCCAGCCCATTGCAAGTTCAAACAGGCACTAAATGAATGGTTGTAAGTCAAGGATTACCTGTAGTTGCTTTAGTTTGGCAAGATTTCTTATCTATAGGTGAGGAACAATAAAAGAAACTTCTCAGAAGTAACTCTCCATATCTTTCTTGATTTTGGGGGTCTGACCAAAAGCCAGCAAGGCATCAACTAACCATGACTTTTATAGGAAACACATATACTTGTGGATCTCGTACAAGGAGCCATGTAGTTCCATCACAGCCTTTTGAAAATAGTGGTTTGTATTTGATATATCTACAAAAATCATGTCTTTGTATATATGCCATTATGAATTTTCCAAACTGTTGATGGAATTTCCCACTTGCCTGGATACATGCGACATAATCAAGACCTGTCAGAAACATTCAATAGTAGAGAAATTGCCTCTTGTTTGCAAGTGATACATAATATGGAAAGTTGCTATAAGAAGGCTATTTTTAATGGTATCAATGTGATAGTTATTAAGACATAGTTTTGTAATTGTCAGTTGTGAAAGATCAGATCCACATATGAATATTAAATTAAACTAATTTATTGCTACTCATACCTATGCACAGGAATATTCTCAACTAACAGCCCTTGCTAGGAGTTAGATAAGGGTCAACAGAATTCAAGAGGGGTTGGATTTTGCTTTCTTGTGGCTATGTGGAGATTCTAGGCTGATCCCTCTTTTAACTCCACTCCCCCAGGTTCTGCCACTCCTTCGCCTATAGTAATAATGATAAAACATCAAACAACATCTGTCTATCCGAGGTCCTTGTGAAGGACTTGATAAGTGGACAAAAAAAAAAAAAGCCAAATCCAGTCTAATCACATGGCTGACCGTGCAACAAACTGTAATAATAATATAGAATTTAAGTTTTTTTAAAGATATCCAATTACATTTGTATTGAGGAGGACAATTTTGTTTGTGGAATAATCCATTTTCTTTTTTTTTTCAGTTTCAAATTTTTATTAATTTTACAATATTACATTTACATATTTGAAAAGTAGCGTGGCAGCTGAGCACAGTAATTCCGTTACATTTGAATATCATCAGTACAAATCTCAAATTATTACAACAAACTAATTCCCTCTCTTTCCCCCATGATATCTACTGTCATGTTCAAACCAATACAGTTCTTATTCTATTAATCAAACAAAAAATACCTTTCTAATATTCATCAATAATCTTCAGTCTATACATATCTTAATTAATTTGATATTCCACCTTTTAGACAATAACCTAGTAAGTTTTTCTTAACTTTAATTTGCCATTAATATTTAAGTTTAACGTTTAATCTTTATCATTTCCAGGTTTTAAATGATCCCAATTTTTAAGTCTCCTATCTCAAATTTGGAGCTAATATTTTTTTTTCTTTTCTTCCTTTCACTTCCTTTATTCCTTTCCAGAAAGAGAAAAAAAAATTGAAAATAAACCACCAACATTTATACCACAAACCCATATACAAATGTAATTATTAGTACTTATACTTTTAAGTTTTACTTAACCTTTGTCTCAACTCATAACAATATCTTAAATTCAAATCTTAATTATTTGTAGACGTTCAGATTACATTTAATATTTAATTTTTCCAAATTTTAATTGGAAATTCCTTTATCCAAGTTGCTCAAACATTCTAATATTTAAAATACACACCTTATATATAACTTCTACCCTCTATCTTACCCATCTAATGACAATACAATATTCTTATTTCAACATATTTCTAGATTTTATATGACCAAATTTTCTTTATCTCAAATCGTTACAATGTCTTGTGTTCAGAATACATATTCCATTTATTTAGATATATTCTATTTTAGATCTCATATATAGATCAGAACCCCAATCTTTTTCAATCTTATTCTAGCTTTTTTCTTCTGCCAGGTCATTTTTCATATTTTTGCCTTTAAATCATCAAAAAAATCTCCTTGTATCGTTGTGGCTATTGTTTGATATTGATAAGAACATCCAGTTGATGTTTTCTTTCAGCGAAAGCCCCTCCTTGCTGGTCACCTCTTCGGGGCGACTTTTGGCCCTTTTCAGGGCCTCCCAGCGATGCGAAACTGAATGGGGGAGAGAGAGCAAGTCTCCCAACCATCCATGGCGGCTGTGTGACAAACCGGAAGTCAGAATAATCCATTTTCTGCTTACATGTTCTCTGATTTTGAGCATGTGTATTTGGAACTGGATTCTGATAGATTTCAGTAAAACTTTAACTAGAAATGTTCAGCTTTTATTGTTTAATTTCCCAATCTTCTGGAATATTACAGGGATCGTTAATAATGGCATCTTTGGATAGAATGACACTATTTGATACAGCCTAGAGAAAAGATAGCCATAGGCTAGTGAGAGTCCCTGAGCCTGCTGATTTGTCTTTTGAAAGGAGATTTAAACAGTAAAAAATAATCAAACTTTTTTTTCCTATTCTGTCTTTGACCTGAAAGAACTCTGAACTAATTAAGATGAAAAGCTTTGCATATGGAAGGAGGAACTCATTTGTGCTAATATGTTTAGAACCAGAGATTCACTTTCTAATCACCTGGATATATTTCTGTTATCAGTTCAGAAAACAGCCTCTTTGTCAGTTCACAGAAGGATCATAAGCAACAGACTGAGAAAATTGCTTCCTTAGGAACCTAGGAGATAAATTGATTCAAGAGGAGGTAAACAATCCACTCTTGAGTTCTCGTGAAGATTGCACACATACCTACCACTGAGAGATTGAGTAAAACTCCTTAAAATTTGGCAAATGTTTTTTTTTAAACCCTCTCATTGTAATTTGGGGAGTTGTAGCTACTTAGGGGGTGCCTTAACTTATTGGTTGCCAGCACTTGCTTTGCACCAGAGTTTCCCAACCTTGGACACTAAGATGTGTGGACTTCAGCTCCCTTAATTGCCCAGCCAGAAAGGAAGTTCTGGAAATCGAAATCCACTTATCTTAAACTTTCTAAGGTTGGAAAACCCTGCTCTATGCCATTGCATTTCTCTTAGCACTTCTCAATAATTCCCTACACTTTTTTTCTGTTTAATGTTTTTTTTTCTTCTGAGAAAATGTCCAGTTTAATTCTTTGTATCACATGGGTATCCAACCTTTTGGCTTGCCTGGACTGCATTGAATGGAGAGGAATTGTCTTGAACCGTGTATAAAATATGTAATATAGTTAATGTACAGTATATATATATATATATATAATATATATATATATATATATATATATATATATATACATATATATATATATATATATCTCACATAATAATGTTGAAACATTTACGATCTTGTGAGGCCGCATTACTACAGTAGCTGCCCAGGGCTGCATGTGGCCTGTGGGCCACAAGTTGGACCAGGGGTAGGAAATCTTGGCTTTTTTATGGCTCCTGGGATCATGTGATCACCTTATGCAATATATATATTGTAAAAACCATTTGTAAATTTTGTTTCCTATCTTCACTTTCAGTTAAGGTTGGATTAAGTTGGAAGAATAATTTCCTCTTAGGAAATTGGTCATTTTCTTCCCTCTCCTGTCTTTTAATCACATGGGTAGTTGATAAATCATTGTGGTTTGTTTTGGAACTAATTTTTAATGAGCACCCTTACATCTCTGCAGATATGAATAGCTGGGCAATATTTCCATTTTAAAACATATCTGCATAATCTGAAATGACCTGCATGACCTTTTACCTCAGCTAGTGCTGCAACAAATGGAAGTACCAGATTCACAATCCCACTTGATCAGTTCTCAGAATTATCTATCTTTGATTATGATCATTTGACAAAATATAAGATATGAATGAAATAAGTAAGCTGCATCAGATTTACCAAAGCTCTCTCTTTTCTGACACAATTGCAGTGGCGTTCTTTGCCGGGTTGTGCTTAACCACATTATACATTTCTCTCTCTCTCTCTCTCTCTCTCTCCCCCTCTCTCTCTCTCTCTCTCTCTCTCTCTCTCTCTCCCTCCCTCCCTCCCTCTCTCCCTCCCTCCTTCTCTCTCTCTCTCCCTATGTGTGTGTATATATATTACTATCAGTCTATATCAATCTCTCTCTCTCTCTATCTATCTATCTATCTATCTATCTATCTATCTATCTATCTATCATCTATCTAATCTATTAGTTCAATTTTTATGGCCACCCAATTCAGTCAATGACTGGGTGGTTGTATGTGAAAAAACATTGGTATAATAATAGTTTAAGAATGAAAGAGATTTCATTATGGATTCTGCGCTGCTGAATCCAGAAGAGGCCTTCATTATCTACTCCTACCACCATTTAATTGATATGATTCTGTGAATGTTTCACTGTTTAATTGGTATACTCTTATGATCATTTTGGTCTACGATGAGTCAGTTATTCTCTCTCTAATTTGAGAATTTATATTTACTTATAAAGGTGGCCCAGGCTCTGGCAAAGGAACCCAGTGTGGGAAATTAGCACAAAAGTATGGATTCACGCATCTGTCAGTAGAAGATCTGATCCAAAATGAGGCAGCATCTGGAAGGAGTAAGACCATCAAAAATATAACCGAGAGTGGTGAATTTATATCAGGGGTAAGATGTGATCCCAAAATTAATGTAATCTCTTCAATGGGGGTAGGTGTGTGAGAGAAGGAAGAAGCTTGAATGGATAATATAAAAACTAGATAGGTTCTTTCTCCAGAAATTTGTTTGAAATACAATATGTATTAACTCAAAACTACCTGTTGTATTTTAAAGAAAAGCAAGATAGTAGGTGAAGCCTTACAACAACATAGGTATCTTCGCTGGTCTCATTGAGACGTTTTTTAAAGATTCCTTCAGTTGATTATATTTGCAAGACACATGCTTCGTAATGTGCTCCAGTACTTAAAATAATTAGCTCTCAAGGGAGCACTGCCTTTTTTTTATTTTGTAGTATTTTCCTACTTGTAAAATGTCTAGGTTAAGAGTCAGTAATGATAGGAATTTTGGAGTGCCTTCAGTCGGTAAATTTGGTAAAATAGTGCATGCACATGAATGCACAATATACTTGAAATATGAGCATATTAGGTTATTGTGGCTATGTCTCATTTTAAGGCACCTGAGCTTTCAGACCAGATGTTAAACCAAACTACTTTGCATTCTTCAATTAAGGATATTGTCACAGAGCTCCTAAAAGAAGCTATACTTGCCAATATGGAAAACTCGGAGGGATTCTTGATTGATGGCTATCCCCAAGATATTCAACAAGGAGAACAGTTTGAGAATGAGGTGAGCAATCCCATCATGCAAAAGGAAGAACCGAGCAGTTGCTTTAACGCAAAGTGTTCTTTCCTTCTCCAGGGAACCCTAAAAAAACTGTTTGTTTGAAATCTTGAATCTATTCCTGAGTAATGACGACAAGACTGAATCAGACAGATAGTTCACTAATTATAAGACATTTTCCTGTTCTAATCCTATTTGCTTCTGTCCACTGTTGTCTATTGAAAGGCTGACTTTTTCCATGAACTTCATAATAAACAAATATTACTTAATGTTGTTGTCAACTTGCAGGACTTAAAAAAACTGCATTTGCTGCATTTCTACTTTTTGATGCAATATGTGCAAAGGTGATGTGCACTCGAACTATACAAAGGATCAGTTGAAGAATACCCTAACACAGAAACAATTTTAAAATGAAACATAATTTCCACACATTATCTGTTGTCTTAGAAACATCAGAAGTGCTAATGCTACTGGGTGAAAATGACATCTCTAAATCACACACACTTTCACTAACTGCACTTTCAGATTGCTTATTAAAATATTGGCATATTACTCTTCCCTGTAAAAGGGTATATGAGATGCTCTGGAGTGATAATTGCTAGGAAGTTAGAATAGAGAACATATTTCTAATTCCTTCTGAATAAATGATAGCATGAGAGCAATTAATAGGTTGAAACAGCATCACCATTTCAGTTTATATTATCCCTGCAGGACACCCAAAACAACTTAAGTTGAACAGTGGGATCTAAGTCGAACAAACAAACATTGTAATCATAACAAGAGCTAAAGTCATTGTGAAATATTTGCAACTGAAATGACCTCGGTGGAAAGGAAGGTTTTCTCCCATTTCCTAAAGGCAGAAGGATTTGGGCCAAATGTGACTTCTGAGCACAACTTTCAGTAGCTCAGAAACATCATAGAGTTAGAGTTAGGGTCTTTCCTTATGTATCTAGGGTAGGCATGTCAAACTCGCAATGTCATGTGACATCGCACGACGTATCGCGACTTTTTCCCCATTGCTGGCAATGGGATGGGCGTGGTTTCAGTATGATGCATCTGGCCCGCGGGCCGCCAGTTTGACATGCCCGGTCTAGGGAATCAATGTCAGGTCTCTTCCAGTGATTGTAATAAGTGGTTCATAGTGGAAGAGGTAGTCCCTCTAATCCTGAGCCATTTAGGGTTTAAATGGTAATATCAGTACTTTAAATTGAGCAGTAAATAACCAGCATAAATTATCAGTATTCACACGATCCTTTTACTTCAGGGGTCTTCAAACTTGACCCTTTTATGACTTGTGGAAGAGGTAGTCCCTCTAATCCTCAGCCATTTAGGGTTTTAAATGGTAATATCAATATTTTAAATTGAACAGTAATTAACCAGCGTAAATTATCAGTACTCACACGATCCCTTTACTTCAGGGGTCTTAAAACTTGTCCCTTTTATGACTTGTGGACTTCAAGGTTGACTCAGCCTTCCATCCTTCCGGGGTAGGTAAAATGAGGACCCAGATTGTTGGGGGCAATGTAAATATATATATATATACATTGCTTACTGGTGTACACCGCTTAGAGAGTGCTTGCACGTAAAGCGGTATATAAGTCTCATAAATAAATAAATAAATAAACTCCCAGAATTCCTCAGCCGTGCAAACTGGCTGAGAAATTCTGGGAGTTGAAGTCCACAAGTCATAAAAGGGCCAAGTTTGAAGACTGACTGAGGAATTCTGGGAGTTGAAGTCCACAAGTCATAAAAGGGACAAGTTTGAAGACCCCTGCTTTACTTTATTAGCAGTCCAGCTGCAGCACTTTGCCCTAATCAAGGCCTCCAATCACTCTTTATGGATAGACCCATAGGAAGTGCATCATAGCAGTCAGGATGTAATCAAGGGATGTGTAACCCTTGTCATATCTAATGACTTCAGAAACGGTCACAGATGACACCCTAGACATAGTTTTGCAAAACACATTTCTTGTCAGGGTTATCAACTGAATCCAGAAACAGCTAATGGTCAAGGAGGAGATCCATTTTATGGACTTGCCCTTTAAAGGAAGTGCAGTTCCATACAGGACAGACTGAACCCTAATTCTAAACCCTAATTTCCTACTGATTAGCAGCACATTTGCCTTGCACTTAATTGTCTTTCATTTCTTTAAATACGATGTTTGCTACCAACCCACGGTTTATTTAAGCATGTTTTATTAATAAGCCACAGTTGGCTGAGTTTGCAAAAAATGCTAGGTCAAAAATAAATCATATTTAGATTACCACAGATTACAAATAAAGATAATTCAGCAAACCTGTGGAATCTACATTACTATAATTTATATCACACTGTACCGAAGTTCAGGTATAGTATAAGCCAGTGGTGGCAAACCTATGGCACGGGTGCCAGAGGCGGCACTCAGAGCCCTCTCTGTGGGCACGTGCGCCATTGCTCCAGTCCTAGGCCTGGGTTTTATAAAACCTTTTCGCTTTAGGCCTCCGCTCCCGTGTGCAAAAAAGAAAAGGTTCAATCAATCAATTTCAACTTCTTACGGGGAAAAAAAAGATCTTACAAAGTTGGAATTGCTTGATTGAACTTTTTAGTCCCACCCAGTCTGCCATTACCACTGCAGCCATGCCCACCCAATGGGCCACACCCTCCCAATTGGCCACACCCACCCAGCAACCGACGATGCATAAGTGAGTTTTGGGTTGCAGTTTGGGCACTTTATCTCTAAAAGGTTCGCCATCACTGGTATAAGCTATGAATTTAAATAATAGATTATAACTAGAAAATCACTTTGAGCCTTTAAAAAAGAACCTATTTAATTTGCTCTTATGGAAAACATTTAACCGTAAGTGGATGTGTAATTAGACAATTTCTAATATGTTTTTTTATTATCTTTGCCTACTATACTTCCTTGTATAATTTTATTGCCATGACAGAGGCCTAACTTTCAAAACATCTCTTGGGATTAAGCTTCATATTTATTTGTTACTAAATATAAATAGACTTGCTGTGCATGTAAACTTTGATGTAGAATCTCAAGTGAATACAATCAGATTGGGCAGATGGTCTCAAATGATTTTGCCATCTGGATCAGTCAAACTGGAAGTTAGGTTCAACTTAAAAAATGGCGTTCAAAGATTTATTTTTAAAATCCCCACATATGTTGATTCTAGCAGCTGGTCTGGATAGTTCTTTTTCCCCTGTAGAGAGAAAAGCCTTAATAAGTGGAAGATTACCGGTTAGGTCCTCCTTCATTCTTTCTTAGGCTGTATAATAATTGCCTGGATTTGTTTCTACTGATTGTCTCTATTTATGAGGATACCATTTCATAGGACATCAAAGTGAGAGCAAAGATACCATCTTCCTTAGCTCTTGGCATATAAACCCGCTGGAGACCCTATTTTACAGGCTCTTCGTGAACAGCTGCCATTCAGATCACTCATGGATAATCTCCTATTCTGTCCTCTAGAGACGTTTGAACAATTGCTCTACTCACCGTTATTTCATTCTACGTAGTAGTTGCCATTTCCACTCATTCACAGAGACATTTTCACTTAATTAGCGAGAGCCCTAATTATCTTAGAGATCCTGAGTTCCCAGGTACACAAAAATTGAACCTTAATTCATGTACAACCATTCTGCAAATAGATGGAGATGGTCATCTTTATTAGCCCAAGATGCATTTTAGGAGCAGTCTCAAAAGAATGAATAATTTAGGGATAATCTGGCAACTCCAATCTATAGCAAGTGACTGTGTCTATACTGTATCTTCAATATAAAAACCTACTCTTGTATTTCATAAATTTAATTTGCAATTTATGAAATAGAAGAGAGTGATTAAAGGTCACATAGAACAGTTGCCTCCCCAAAGTAGTTCTGGGTCCAACTTCTCCTGCTTTCCTAAAATTGTCAACCAAACTGGTACTGTAATGCAAGGTAAATTTCTTTGCCCCTGTCACTACCACTAATTAACTGGAATTAAGAGAAGAGGAAATGGAAAGAAAAAAGACAAGGACAATGCGCAATAGTAAAAACTGCTTGAAGATGTAGAAAAAATAAAAGCGTCCCAATGTCCTTTATTGCGATGCAAGAATTCCACCAGAAAAATTGAACTGCTTTAGAGATATTTCCAACATTGTACGGCTTCCTAGCATCATCAATTTCATATTGTTATTTCAGATTGCGAAACAATGATTTGTTCTCTAAGCCCAGACACTGTGTTATAACTTATTTATGATGCTGCAAACATTTAGTTGCTTTTTTCAGTTCATAGTTGCATTGTGGGAATTCTGGAGCACAAAAATACAGTAGATCCATGTGTTTCATCTAAAGAATTTCCTCACTAGGATAGAATATGTAGTTTTAATTTCTGGTATAGTGGTGCCGCCTTGTGTTGTGTATGAAAAGCAGTAAGTTCTCCTCTCCAGTATCACCTTGTAGTATTTATCTTTCTTTCCCCACTGCCCACCTTTTTTTTGGTTTGGATAGATAATTAGATAGATTTGGGGAGATATATGTTTAACCTAATGATACTAAAAAAAAGTTTTATATGTCCTTTATTTACTAAAGATATTTGCTCATGACAACATGTCTTAAGCAAAGGGAGTGTCTTCTTCCATATAGAGACAAAATCCAGAGAGAATTTTTTTTTAAAAAAATCAAACTAACTCAAGGAAAAATACAGTCTTGTTTGAAGAGTTTTTCAAAGAAAGTTTATAATCTCATCATGAAAGTACTTCTTTATCTTGTGTCATGATTCACATGTTCAGTAGCCTTACCTGCAGCACTTAAAATGACTTTCTCAGTTATTGTTTTGTTTATATGAAATATTCTTGGAGGCTTAGCAAACCTATAAAAATGTGAGCTTCATGTCACTGACTTTGCACAGAAACGAAACTTTGTGAAAAAGGGAAAAAAGGCTTAAAACCCCCCAAAGGGTTTCAGACATACAATCATATGTATAGAAGCTTTTGTTTATATAACTTGTACAAACAGGAGAAGCTTCCTTTGAGCTTCACAAGACTAGAATTAAACTGAATGACTGGAATTAATTCTACTTCTTCGAAAAAACTTTTCTTTGTATCCCTCCCTTCCATCTGTGTAAATAATTTTTCTTATGTGACCCCAAGAGATGCATATAAATATTGTTTAATAAAATAAATACAGGACAGTAAAGCTATATCGTCGTCATCATCATCATCATCATCATCATCATCATCATCATCTCTCAGCTTACCCTGCAACATAAGGTTATTCTGAAACCAAAATGAGGTTGGAAGCAATGACTTTAGGGCTCATGCAACCATGCATGAACCATCCTGGAACATAACCCTTTCTTGGTCCCTAAAAAAAACCCCAAAAACTATAGATAAAGGCACAGGCAATAATTTTATCTAAATCTTATGTACAAACCCTTGTATTTGGTTATCGCTTTCTGTTCTTATTCCTACAAAGGAAGACATTTATGCTGAACTCATTTAATCCAAAGAGATCACCTTTAAAAAACTGGAAAAACTGATGCCATTTTTTTTTCTCCATTTCTTCAGATTGGTGAGCCCTCTCTGGTACTCTGCATGGACTGTTCTTCTAAGACCATGAGTAATCACCTTCTGCAAAAAAGTCAGTGCCTTGAGGATAATGTTGAAGCTATCATGAGATGCATTGAAGCTTACTATAAAAGAGCTGAGACACTAATTGCATATTATGAAAACAGAATTCCACTCTTTAAGGTATATTGCCTTGACTTTCTACTTGATCTGTCTTCTGTTTATGTGGCAACATTTTAAGGAGATAATTCTTTTGTGTCATAAATGTTCTGATGTAGCAATTCCTCTCACTCAATTTCTGCCACTGAGAAGGAAGATATCAAATTTTTTTTTGAGTTGCAAGATGCATGTTAGCCTATCCCTGTATACACCAAAGGAAAATCCAGAAGACTAAACATTAAACTGAATTATATTCTGTCCGATCATTATGTATACATAAAGTGGCCAGAAACAGGAGGGGAAAAAAACATTAATGAAAAAGCATGTCACAGATAAAACTATTCTGGTAGAGAGAAGTTCCCTGAGGATGGGCTCCAACATGAGTCCAAAAGCTTGGAAGACTAAACTTCTGGTCCTGGTGAGTGACCCAAATTGGATCGTGCAACATTATCCTGGGTCACGTATATTTGCTTTCATTCGTCAGATAAACTATGTCTGACTTAGATCTTTTTCTTTAGTCAGTTCTTTCACCTTTATATGTTGGCAGGTCATGTTTTGGGATGACTAGTTAGTTGGCCAGTGGCCATATTTTTATTCCTTGAACATCATAAAAGAGCAGAGAGCTTGTAGATTCCTCTCTGCTTTCCTGTTGATGTCATCATGGAGAAATAGAATTTGTATCTGTATCTGCATTTCAACTGTCTTCCCCCAAAATATATGTGGGAAGTTAAAAGCTGAAAAGGTCACAGAGGCAGAAAGCAGGTTTGGTCTCTGGGGAGCCTCTCTAGGATTTTGTCTTGATCATGAATCTGAGAAGGGTCAGTTAACTTCAAGAAAGTAGTTCACCTAAATGCATGGTAGTGGGGCTCTACTGGTTGTCCAGAGTGGCAAGTTTAATTTCAAGCAAGACTTCTGGATCTTTGACATGTCAGGTTCCTTTGTCATCAGGGAAGGACAAAATCAAAATTCTCCCTTACACTTCCCTGGAATTAATACAATAGTTACAACCAATAAGGGAGAATAAAAAAACAAGAAAGTTGCAACATGAAAAGAGAGTGTTCTTCTGGATTGGCCTGACTCATATATGCTGTCAAAACTTGAGAAATGGCAGATGATTTGCCATTTCACTAAATTTAAATACACTGAAATTGAGAAAACTTAATCATGAGTTTTAACACTCATTATTTTCATTATGAAGTGTGATATAATCTAGAATAAGTCCAGCCTTTGGGTTTTAAATACATTTCTGTGCAACATAGCACAGGCTATTTATTGTTCCGATACACTTGAGTGAAATTTATTTTGCATTTATTTTAGATTACAAATAATTTGGCAATTCAGTCTCCCTTAATTTTCCTCTTCTATGTAATGTTCAAAATTCTTAGTTGGAATCATTTCCTTAATTAAGGTAGTTAAGTATGCTCTTTTGCAAATTTTCTCATACTCGCACCAAAATCTCCAATTCTGGAAGGTATTTAATAGAAGATTTGGAAAACAGCTTCTTACTATACTGTTTCTGCTTATTATTTTGGCTATATTAGGCAATTCTATTATTATAAATAGCAAAAAGAAAGAAAAGAAAGAAAATTGCCTCTATTGCCTTTTTCTGTTTTGCTATTAACTGAAATATATTTGTGTACTCAGTTCTTTCTTTTCCATCCAACATTCAAAGTCAGAATGTCTTCAGATATTATCTTCGTATTAAGATTTAGTGTTTCTCACTTGAAAATGCTCAGCATGAAACATGGAAAGCATCGGCTGCCAAAACACTTAAGAACTGATTACTTAACATTCACACTCCCCAGTATGTTTTTCACTTTGGATGTTTTAGGTGAAGAGCTGTTCTTTTTTTTTCAAAGCAAATTAAAATCTAAGAAGAAAAATACATACTGGGAAAGAAATGGAGTGATTGTCTCAGTTCAGGGTTGTTGCCACTGCAGCTTATAAACTATGCCATAGAACAGAGGTTCTCAACCCGTTTCATCTCAGGGTGCAGATCTTCTCATAGGCAGAACTTCTGGGTCAGAGGTTGCATAAGGAGAAATAAAGGAAGTCCACTCCTAGTGATGTCACAAGAAGTGGGGTTCTGGCTGATACAGCATACCTATGGATATTTTGCAACACATTTTACTGCCCTAGATGCTATTAAGAAGAGCTCACTTCAATTTTCTGTTTGCTTGCAAAGGTTTGTTCACAATCTCCAGTTTATAGCATATGTTAAATATTTTGTACATCCCAATAATTAGCAGGTTGGCAGAATATGCAGCCTTCAACAACAAACTGATCTTAAGCCACTTTCTCTTTAGATATTTTACTGTATAATAGTATTATACAGGATTGGCTGGTGCCTGTTGCTTGTTCTACTAGTGATGTCTGTCAGTTTTAATTTCCTCACTGACACGAGTTGCAACCTGACAAAATATTCAACGGACATGCTTTCCTAGACATGAACAGCAGTCAGCACTGTTTTCAGGCAAGGCCTTCTAACTTCTCTTCCTGGTTTTCCACTTCTTTTCCATCCAACATTCAAATTAATGGCTGAATTTACTTAGGCATAATGGGATTTGATAGAGTATCTGTAAGTCAGGGTTAAACTGTGGGGTCCTCGGTGTTCTCTGAGCTTGTAGGCTTTCTTGCAGACATTTCATTACCAAACTAGATAACATCATCAGTACACTAGTGTTACCTAGTTTGGTAATGAAACTTCCGCAACAAAACAACCAAACTTGGAGAACATTAAGGACCCCCTAATGAGATCTTTTTAAAAGTCCTTCTGTTTTTGGTTTTGGGTATTACATATTGTTTCTTCAAGAATGCTATTCTTTTTTCAGCATTCCAGCATTGGCTACAGTGGTTATTGAGTCTGGGAATTTGGGAATTAACTTCTCTGAATGTTTTTGTTTTTCTTTTGAACAGATAAATGCAGAAGGAACACCAGAGGAAGTTTTTCTTGAGATATGCACTTCAGTCAATACTTTTCTGAAGAAGGAATAGCACCATTTTCAGAACTTAATGTAATGGCAGTGCTGGAACACACACATGCATAGTGTCCTTTACAAATGCTGCTCAAAGCAATAGCTGCTGCCTTGAAAGATTAATGCATGTTGTAAACATTGTAAAAATCTTTGTAACTTAAATGGTACAGTAATGATATGTGTACTGTATATGGCCTATGATACAGTTTGCAGTTCACAGGTTTAAAAAGCCAGCATGATAAACAGTATCTGAGTTTTATAGAACCCATCTTCTTCATTTCAGTACTGCAAGACATACTATACAGTCAAGCACAGTATTCTGTCAGTAGGAGTGATGTAACAGTGAATTTGCTGATGAATACAAATCAATTTTTGGGGCTATTTAAGTTTGTTCTTTTTTGTAATGCTTGAACAGTCTGTTTCTGTCATTTTCTTTTACAAGGGGAACATGTCTGCAATTAAGTCTGCAGTCATTTACACACCAAATAATGGAACTGGGAGAGACTCACACACAAAAAAGCATGATATGCAATACACGAACCAAATGTGAAATAATTAACTGATTGCAGGACCAGATGTTGCATTGATAAGACCATCCATACAAATATCCTATGTAGTTATGGCTTGAAAATTTTTTGATTTACAATGCTAACAGAGGGATAATATATGCAGAAAAGAAAAGTGCCAAATATTCCTGATGTGCTTAAGATGGGTAAAGACTTAGAGCTAATAATGGCAGTGTTGGTATATACAAAATTAACACACATTTAAAAAGACTACAGGCAATAATTGTCTCTATAAACTGATTGCGGTATGTGTAACAGCTACATATAGCCAATTGTCAGTTTTAAGTAATTTATTGCTCAGCATTTAACATGATGGGAAATTTAAAATGTAAATGAGCAGTATTAAGTTCAGATTACCACATGCTTTCTACATGGCGCACATGCACATACACACCTCTTGATGACTGAAATACTGAGGTTTTTCAAACTGTTTATCAACAGACAAGAAAATCTTATTGTCTATATCAGAAACTACCTTCTTTTGCTATCCACTATCTCTTCTTGCATGCTAGATTCTATCAACAGTTGCATTATCAACAAGCAATTGAGCAAAATTTGTATTTTTCAACCTACTACTCTTGTATGAAAAAGTAATAAAAATAAAATATATGGACAAATGTTAAGGGTAGTAAATTTTACTTTTCATATTTAAATCTTCTGCAAAACAAATAAGTATCCAATCCAAAGCCACATAAAAACATTTTCACTTAATTGGGTACAGAGTTTTGAATTTTGAAAACTGCTATAGTTGTGTGGTTATGAGCATTTGTTTCAGCTTTTTTAGATGGGATTCTTCCACTAAGAAACAGGTATGCTACAACTTTCAAAACAAGACAGTTGTATTTAAAGACAACATTTGACAGCAATCTCAAAAAATATCCCTAACACTTAAACTACAAATTTGAACTGTTTGACAAGAACCATATAAAAATCTGCTTTGCACTTTGAGCAAGAACTGAAAATTTCTAAGCTAAAAAAAAGGGCAATGGGAAACAACAAAATTTTAAATTCAAAGGGCATTTGAATCTTTGCTGAAACCGTATCAAATCACTCTTTATTATGGTCACAGACTAACATAAGGAGGGTGGGGTACAATTGTTGAAAATGTGTATCATACATACTTTCTCACTTCTGAGAAGCAATGTATAGTCAGAAGCTTGTCTTGAAAAAACAGCTTTTATCAATGCAAATTTCAGAGACAACTATCCACTATTGCAAACCATTTGCTTTTTCCATTATGAGATCTGTAGGGCCATTATTTAGGTAGGAAAACATGTTTTGAACAAACGAGAATGGAGGAATGAGATAAGTATAGAACAAGATACAGTTTTCCTTACTGGTGGCGCAGTGGTTAGAATGCAGTACTGCAAGCTACTTCTGCTGACTGCCGGCTGCCAGCAGTTCTGCAGTTCAAGTTTCACCAGCTTAAGGTTGACTCAGCCTTCCATCCTTCTGAGGTTGGTAAAATGAGGACCAGATTGTTGGGGGCCATGTGCTGACTCTGTAAACCACTTAGAGAGGGCTGTGAAGCGGTATATAAATAAGTGCTATTGCTATTGGCCTGCCACCAAATCTGCTTGGAATTATGGCTAACACTGGAATCAGTGTTTGCCTTAAGATGTGCAAAACATTCTGAAATTAAAATTTTATATGCCCAAATATCCTATTTCAGGGAAAGACAGCAGTATAGAGGTTAGAAGGGGCGTTGTCTTACCTGAACGCCTTTTCTCAGCATGATGATGGAGAATCCACTGATGGGTTGTCTTAATCTTCCTGCTCCAATAAGACTAAGTCTGGAAAGTTGCCACACCTCTGCTGTGCAAGAGCACCCCAGTTTGCGATGAAGGCGAAGCACAGACGTTAGTCCGACGCGTGTACTCATCCTATACTGTACACAGGACCAAACTGATACTAAAAGGGTGGGTGTGGATTCTGCATCATCATGCTGAGAAAAGGCGTTCAGGTAAGACAACGCCCCTTCTCCAGCATGATTGGATGGAGAATCCACTGATGGGACATACCAAAGCCCTGTTGTCCCTAAGGGGGGGGGGGGAAGCAGTTTGAGCCTAAGTCCCACTGGCAGATACCACTTGCTGTAACACTCTCCATCTGAACGAGGCATCCGAGGAGGCAAATTTATCAATTCTATAATGCTTGAAAAACGAGGAAGGCGAGGACCACTTCACCGCTCTGCAGATCTCCCCGATACATGCCTGGGTAGCCCAAGCCGCTGATGTAGCCACACTGCAGGTGGAATGGACAGTGATGCAACAGGGAATGGTCAATGATTGGGACTGATAAGCTTGGGCAATGCAAGCCCGAATCCATCTGCCTACAGTCGAGGAGGAAACCTTCTGACTCATGGACGAGAGCTGAAAAGAAATGAACAGTGCCTCCGATTTACGGAAGGCAGAAGTCTGTTTGATGTAATGCCACAGGGCCCTGTGAACGTCCAGAGTATACCATTGTTTTTCTAGCTCGTGACACGGGTTAGGACAGAAGGTAGGAAGCACCACCTCCTGGGACCTATGGTACAAGGAATTAACCTTGGGGACAAAGGAAGGATCCAGATGCAGGGTCACCCTGTCTGCATGGAAAATGCACAGGTCCTCTCTGACGGAGAGGGCGGCCAGCTCTGAAATTCGCCTGGCCAACGTGACTGCTACAAGAAAAGCCACCTTCATAGACAACAGTTTCAGGGAGCACATGGTAATGAGCTCAAAGGGTGGCAAGGTGAGGGCCTATAAGACCCAGGGTAGGTCCCAAGAGGGATAACAGCAGACTGCCAGAGGCTTGGCATTAATTGCCTCTTTTAGGAAGGAACGCACTGTAGGGTGTTGCACCAAGGGGGCGGAATTTTCACACAGGATCACTGTGGAGAGGGCTGAAACCTGTCTGCGGATGGTGTTTGGGGATAACCCCTTGTCCAACCCATCCATCAGGAATTCCAGAACAATCGGAATAGTGATGTTCAAGAGTTCTACTTTGTGCCCTAAACACCAGGTACAGAAACTCCTCATGTGGCATCATAAATCCTATTCATGGAGGGGTGCCTGGATTGCTGGATCATGGCTATCACCCTCTATGAATATGAGTTTCAGGTCAAGGCCCGCCGCTCAAATGCCAAGCAGTTAGTTGGAACCACTGGGGATCCAGATGCTGAAGGACTCCCTGGCTGAGGACGATACGACCTGAGGGAATTCTCCATGGGTGAGAGATGGAAAGCTCCACCAGGTCGGCGAACCACGGACGTCTCGGCCAATGTGGGACAATCAGGATGACCTCGCCCATTCATGTACGATCTTGTGGATTGTCGCCAGAATCAGAGGAAGGGGAGGAAAAGCGTACAAGAGCTCCCTGGGCCAGGGACTGCGGAGAGCATCTGTCCTTTCTGCTCCCCAAGATGGGAACCTGGAAAAAAACCTTGGGAGTTGGGAATTGGTTGGAGAGGCAAAGAGATCTAACACAGGATGACCAAACCTGTCCGCAATATCCCTGAATAAGTCGGGTTCCAGGCACCACTCGGAATGGTCCACTTTTGACCTGCTCAAGGAGTCCGCCTGCTGATTCGCGTCTCTGGAGATGTGTTCCGCTCTGATGGAAGAAAGATTGTTCTCCGCCCAAGTCCCCAACAAATGGGCCTCTTCCATGAGAGGCCTGGATCTGGTTCCGCCGTCTGTTCACCTGAGCCTTTGCAGCAATATTGTCTGTGACCACTAGGACATGTTTCCCGCCACCCTGCTGCTGAAGTGGCATAAGGCTAGATATATAGCCCTGAGCTCTAACCAGTTTATATTGTTCTGTAAGTCTGTCTGGGACCACCGGCCCTGAGCCAATTCTGACTGAAGGTGTGCTCCCCAGCCGAAAAGGCTGGCATCCGTTGTTAGGGTAACCATGGCTGGTTCCTTGAACTGGGTGCCCCTTGTCGTTGCTGGAGAGGCCCACCACCGAAGGGAGTTCAACACTTGACGTGGAACTGAACCTTCCGGGTGGAAGTGCTGATGCGTAGCCTCTGGAACGGGAGCAAAACCCACTGTAGTTCCCTGGCATGAAGACGTGCCCATGGTACAATTGCTATACAGGACACCATCTTCCCCAGGAGTTGTGACAACAATGGCAGGGTGACCACCCGCTCTCTACGAACCCGATGAACTAGGGCCCATATGCTGTCCTGTCGTTCCTGTGACAGATAGACTGTACAAGTGTTTGTGTCAATGACCGCCCCCAAATGAAGGAGGTGGGTGGATGAAACCGTCTGGCTTTTCTGAAAATTGACAGAAAACTCGTGAGTCTGAAGGGCCGTGATGGTGTAGGCTAGGTCTGATTGAGCCTGCTGGAAGGATGGAGACTGTATTAGAATATCGTCCAGATAGCACTGGACATGGATTGGAATTTGTCTCAAGTGGGCGGCCAGCACTGCCAATATTTTTGCGAACACTCGAGGGGACCGAGGAGAGACCGAATGGAAGGGCTCTGTATTGGTAATACTGGTGGGCACAGCAAAATCTGAGGAACCTGCAATGCCCAGGGAGGATAGGAATGTGTAAGTATGCCTCCGTTAAGTCTATTGATGTCAGGAAGTCCCCTTTTCTGATGCTGGCTAGGATCGATTAAAGCGACTGCATCTTGAACTTCCTGTAAGTTAGGTAGTAGTTTAGACTCTTTATATCCAAAATTGCCCTCCAGCCCGCCAAAGTCTTTGGAACAACAAAAAGATTGGAGTAAAACCCCTGCCCCTTCTGATCCCCCAGCACTGGTTCTATGGCCTTTATCTGTGATAAATGGGAAATGCCTCTGACGTGAGGTCTGCTTTGCTCGTGTTCTTGGGGGTGGGGCAAGACCGGAAATGTTCTGGAGGACTGGACCAGAATTCCAGGGCTAGACTGTGAGTGATGGCATTTAACACTCAGGAGCCTATGGTGGTGTTTTACCATACGTTGGTATAGAGCAGCGGTTCTCAACCTGTGGGTCGCGACCCCATTTGGGGTCGAATGACCATTTCACGGGGGTTGTCAAACAACGCAGTCCGCCATTTTTTTCCCCTTTTCCTTAGCTGTGCTACTCCCTTTTATTCTATTGGCTTTTGAAAGCCAGGAGTATAGACTCTCTTGAATAGAGTCTAATTCTATTCAAAAGCCAATAGGAATTGTCCAGGCTGTCTCTGCCTTGCTGAGCCCGCCAAAAGTCCCATTCTGCAAACAGTGCTGCAAGTTGTCTGCAGCGAAGGCGAGCTGTCTGGAAGTTTCCACCCCTCCCTCCTGAGCAACTACTAAAAGTGTAAGTAAAAGAGGGCCAGGGGTGGGAGGTGGGAGGCCGGCGGGCACAGGGAGGGTTGCTGGCCCACGTGGGGCCCGGCGGGTACCTTACCTCCCTTGGACTGGGCCAGCTGGTGGCCCAGCCAATGGTCGGCCTGCTCCGTCTCTGCCGCTTGCCAGCTACGCCTCGGGTGGCGCAGGGGGAGGTACCACGCATGCGCAGCGCTTCCGGGCAGGGAAAGTCCTCGACTTACGACCGGTTGGGTAGTCCTCAACTTACGACCGGTTGGGGGTCGTGGCATTAAAAAGGTTGAGAACCACTGGTGTAGAGGGACAGTTGACTACCTATGGGGGAAGCATCCCTGGAG